ATAAGTCAGTCTAATGAAAATACTCTTTCTACCTTTTAACAGAACTTTTAGGAATATAGCATGGCAAAAGAGCCAGGACTGTCTGACTCTGTGCCTTTCATCAGTGTTGTTGGTTTTCCTGATAACATGTTTAAGTTCTATCATGCTCCTGGAAAGATGAAGGTCTTAGGACAGATTCCCCAGCTACCCAGGCTTTTAGCACTACTTTCTTCTGCCAGCAATCTCCACCTTGGGATTCTTGTGAAGTCTCCGCTCCCCTCCCTCAGGCCCTCCCTCTCCACTCCCTTTAGTGTCTACCCTGAGGATGCTTGGCCAGCACATCCAGTCTTTTCTTGCTCTCTACAAAAAGCCATCGGCTGTAGGGTTCCCAACATAAAAGGCCTCAACCAAACACAAAACACAGGCATTGATGGAGAAATGAAAGGTCCAGGAAGTAAATTCTAAGAGAGGAAAGAGCACAAAGTGTCTTTTATAATACAACAGTCCATGAAGAAAGAGGAGGGGCTTGGCAGAGAGAGATCCATCCTGAACACTGACTTAAAGCACTTGTGTAACAGGCACGATTACATTCATGCCACACAGAAACAAGGTGAATCCGATAAATGACACAAGAATTGTTTTTGTAACTAACAGCAAAGATGGACAGGGTCTTGAATGGGGAGTGCCAGGTCCTGGCCTCGGTATAAGGCAGCAGCAGCCAGGACATCCTGTGCTGCTTCAGGGGGTCCCTGAAAAGCATCCCAACAGACTTGACCTGGAATGGGTCTGTAGGTCACAACACTTTTACCCGGCTCTGTAAAGGCGTGCTCAAAGGTGCTCCCTTATCCATCTACTGCGAAATTCTTAGGCACGTTCGCAGGGTTAGGCCTATTAATATAACAATCATTAATACTGATAATTAATACTGATATTGGAAGGGGTCTCTAAACCACTTACAATCCTGTTTTGGAGGCAGAAATTGATCAAGAGTGCCTAGAATATTCTTGGACTCTGTTCCCTTCTCTCATGATACCTGTGCTACACTCCTGAATAGGTTACATTTATACTAAATTATTGAACATATATTTGAGAAAAACCCCTATAATGTTTAAAATCCTGTTTTGTGAGGAATACAACGTTCCTTTCATTTTAACAGCCACAAAGATAACAGACTAGTTTTTAAAGTACTTGACAGCATACATGAAAACTATGAAATGTCTATAGAGCCAGAAAGGGGGACAAACCTGTGGCTAGTAGCTGACTGTTTCTGGAAACTACACATTTCACAGAAACATATGTGGCCAATTAATTTCTTCAGTGAATAAAAATTATACACTCTCCAGTGAGTAGTGTGCACATCATTCCACAAAACAGCAGCGGCACTGTTTTAAGCTCAGGAAACATCTCTAGTTCCAGACGTCTTCCCCTAAGTCTGTGAGTAAGTTCTTTGGCAACTTTCTTGCCAATACCCTTTACAAATACCCTGTCCTCTCTGATGAGGACAAGGCCAGCAACATGCTTGGAGCACACAGTTTTACAGTGGTCACTTTCTCATCTTTGTTAGGTGCACAGCTCTCTGAGGTCCACACACAGCTAGCTGCGCACAAGCAGCACCGTACCATGTCACAGACAATTCTCAAAAAAGCAGCTGAGAAGGGACACTGCAGCAAGGGAGGTCACCTAGCCAGTGCTCAGCAATGGTGAGCTTTTATCTACAATGTCCACACGCACTCATAAGAGCACGTAAGCAGATAACAAATGTCTTACTGCTGTTTTCATCTGGATGAACTTCCTAGCTGTAGAAGGCAAATGCTGCTGCCTGTCTGACAGAAGCCCAAGTGCAAACTGTCTATGAGTAAAGCTCAGAAGGAAGGGTAAATTAACACTTTTACACAGGACAGGGCTAGCTCATTCCCTAATGCCAAGAAACGGTTGGTTGAATCAGACAGAAACAAACAGACAGACCTCAACAACAGACAGACATCTACTACCCTACTAAGGTCCTACTGAATTTTTTTTCTTTTTCTTTTAAAAACCTTTCATTACCACCATTCAGTGTTTCCCAAAGAGTAAAAAGGGAAAATACTATGGGAAAGGTCAAAAGCTATATAGCTCTGTCATTTGAGGAAAGGATGAGACTACCATACAGGGAGAGAATTCTTCCCAAAAGGTGTGAAAACCTATGTAATACACAGAAACTTAGGAAACCAATTCAAATAAAGTCGCAGGGGACACCTAAACCCATCAGAAATCTCTTATGTTTATGTTACGACTCACAACAGCAATAAAATTACAGTTATGAAGTAGCAATGAAAATAATTTTATAGTTGGGGGTCACAATAACATGAGGAATTGCATTAAAGGAAAGGTTGAGAACCACTGGATTATAAGATGCCCTCGACATCCACAGGATTGTATACTGTAAAGAGTTGATCAGAAAATACTAAAACAGGGGAGGAGGACCTCCCCTATCAGTAGACTAGGGGATGGCATGGGAGAAAAAGACTGAGGGACAGGAAAGGGACTAGGGAATGAGCTACAGCTGGGATACAAAGTGAATGAATTGTAATAAATTTAAAAACAAAATAAAATAAAGAAAAGAAAATACTGAAACAAAAACAGAATAGTTTTACAAGTAATTTATGAGCTATAACTGGCCTCAAAACAACTGCATTAGGGAAGAAAACTGAAGAGGCCCAAGTCCACATGACTTCACATTTATTTTGTCAGCCATCACCATTTCCCTACTGATTTATAACATATATTCTGCTTTCTCGTCTCAACCCAACTCTGCACAGGCACGAATCACCCTTAATACAGAGCCTTCACTTTGGCTGTGCTAAAGTCCAAACCCAGCAGTGCACAATCCTCCTGGGCAGCGTTCTCCCTAGCGTGCTGCTCACCAGCCCTCACACACCCCACACCTCTGGGGTGGTCAGATCCAAGCCCACACTGTTGTCTGAGTCCCACGGGTGCGGGTGGCCTTTGTATCTTCAACTCCTGGGCAATTTCATGCCTGTGTGTCCTTGAATGCGCTGGCCCCGACTGAGGTGATTTCCTTTCCCTAGCCCCAGCTTCTTCTGACTGGAGCCAACCTCGGGACTCAAGTGTTACATCCTTGGCAGACATCACCCTCGGAGACGGGTGAAACTGTTTAGATATGGCACTGTGTTCCCTCTCTAAGGAGCTGCTTGCCGCATCTCTTTCTAGCTGAGTGACCTTGGTCAAGTTCATTAATAACACTGGGACGTCCTCATATGCTGAAAGTCAACATCAATTTGCTGTCAGTAAAGACCGTTAAAATTATTCTGTGACCAGTAAGGCATTACAACATGTACACATCACCCAAGCACCCAAAGTCTAAGCTAAGGGTGAAGCAGTTCCCCTTTCTAGGATGTTCTAGAATGTTCTGCATGCTCAACCTTTAAAACAAATGTATTATTTTTACTATATGGGCATTGCTATTTTGCCTGCATGTATGTCTGTGTGGGGGTGTCAGATCCTGGAGTTACAGTTGTGAGCTGCCATGTGGGATTTGAACCTGGGTCCTCTTGAACAGTTAAGTGCTCATAACAGCTGGGCCATCTCTCCAGCCCCTCACCCTTCTGTCTGAGTCCACTCTAAGTTGTATGCTTCTATCTACAGGAAAGGCCCTTGGTGATATATGGATCATTTAAAAAGACACGAAATGGGACTCCTCTGAAAGATATGGGTTTTCTAAAAATGTGCACAGGAGTATTACGCTAGCAGATAGAGCTGCTAAGCAAATATGCAAATGAATGAATGAATGCAAGGGTGCCTTGTCCTCAGTGAGCTTATAATCAAGAGGTGACATAACAGCGTCTCATCTTTAAAAAAAGTAACAGGTGGCTTTATTGTCATCAAGCGTGGAAAGAAGTTTCCTGCTAAGCTACTTTTCCCCGACTTGGCATGTGCTGAACTTGCCATCTTAGTTTCTTGCACTTAACATATATGCATTGGCACTGTCAGCATCATTGATGCAATTCAATACCAAGTCATCTAATAGCTATGGCACCAGGTTTTATGAGTACAAAGATACAGTTGGTGGACTCTGCCCAGAGCCACTAAATACATTGAAAGGGAGCTAAGCCATCAACACATGTGATTAATATACGTCAGAATAACCTAAGATACACAGAGGGCCTAAAGAGCAGGAGACATTTGAGTGAGGGCACTGAACCCCGTACAGTTAATACTGTATGTTACCAATTACTGATGGCTTCTGCTACTGTTATATAACACATACACCAATACATATGCTGCACACTGTAGCAGACAGTTCTGGACGGCCTTTCTCCTTATTCTGATTTTAGGCCTACTTATGTTGTCTAAGCATTTGTTGTTCATAAGGAAAGGCTGTTCAGACCTTTATGACAGTCCCATTTAACAGATGAGAAAACTGAGGCGTAGGTCTTGCAATTTTTCCAGGTTAAGAAAAATAGGTAAACAGGACTCAAGACAGACAAGAGCATTCCACATGGAGGGCACAGACCCACTTCCCGGAGCCGTTTTCTGCCCAACACATCCAGTGGGAATACCCAGCAGGTAGCTCTCCTTTCCCGCCGGGGCTTTTCGCTTCCCGGGTCTCTAACCGAGCTGTTGATTCCCATAAAGACACTCTCTCAAACCTTCCCACTCATTCCGGGGCACGTTACTGAAATCACGAGCCCTTCCGGAGAGGTGAGACCGAATCAGATATCCAGGTGGACAAAGCCCCTGGTGGAGTCAAGAAACTAAAGCTCCCGGCCTGGGGATCCGTTCCTGGATCCCCTCCAGGGGATGGCAGCAGCGCCCGGCTCACCCAGGAGGCGCCATCCCCGGCGGCATCCTCCCCTGCTGACCCCCCTGGCAGCTCGGGCGCTGCCATCTGCCTGCTCTTCCACCCTTCACCTGCCGACGCCCCAGCGCAGCTGCATCCCAACCCGACCGCCGGCAGGCAGGCATCGCGGGGCGACCCGAGCCCCCCGGCCGGGTCCTGGCCGGCCCCGGCCGCCACTTACGGTTCCAGTACACCGGGTAGCACTCTCCTTGAGTGACGTCCACCTCGTAGAGGCCGCCGCGCACGCACACCGGCTCGATGGTCACCAGCTCCTCCATCTCCGGCTCGGGCACCGACGCGCGCGGGCAGAAGCCGCAGGCGCGGTCCTCGTCATCTTCCTCCGGGAAGCCGGGGGCCGGGCCGCACGCCGCGTCCCCGTCGCGGCCCTCCGCGCGAGCCCGGGCGCCCGTGGTCTGCAGCAGGGTCCGGAAGGCGAGCTCGATGCGCAGCGAGTCGTAGCCGATGAAGGGCTTCCAGGTCTTCTTGTCCTCCTTGTAGAACCAGCGCACCTCCTCGGGCCCCAGCTCCGTCACCACCTCGTAGCGGTGCCGGGCGGCCGCGCCGCCGGGCCGGGCGCGCTTCCTGTCCCCGGGGCCCCCTCCCGCCGCCCCGCCGCCCCCCGAGTTCGGGGCGACCAGCGGCGGCGGGGGCGAGGAGGAGCCGCCGCCGCCCGCGCTCTCGCCCTCGCTGAAGTAGCGCAGCGACGACCCCGACTCGGCCGAGCTGAAGTCGTAGGTGTCGTCGCTGAGGCACGGGTCCAGGGCCAGGTGGCTCAGGTCGTCGGCGCCCGGGGCCAGCAGGGAATCCGCGCGCAGCAGCGCCAGCTGCACGCCGTCGCCCGGCTGGTGCTCGAAGCAGCAGCCGCCGCCGCCGCCGCCGCCGCGGCCGAACGCGCCCGCCGCGTCCGAGCCCAGCTCCCAGGCGCCGCGGCCGTTACGCTCGGGGCTCCGCGGGGCGCCGCGGCCCGGGTAGTTCATGCCGCCGGCGCTTCCGCCACACGCGCATCCGCCGCCGCCGCCGCCCTCTCCGCCCGGACTTTATAATCTTTCAAATCCCGAGCACGGCAGCAGCTGCGGCCCAGGCGACTCCGCCTCCCCGCAGGCTCCCGGGCAGCCGCAGCGCCCGGCCGAGGCCCGCCCCATTGTTACGCACCCCTGCGTGGGCGGGGCCCGAGCGAGGCCACGCCCACGGGCCGCGCGCGCACCGCCCCGGAAGGCCCGAGCCGCTAGTCGAGCGCGCGCTCGGCGGGGCCGGGCGCCCTGCCTGGAAGCGCGGGTCAGGTGGGGTCGCCACGATCTCGGCCTCAGTGGAGCCCGGGCCTCTCGGCTCTGAGGCTCCGCCCCTCGCTTCCACGCCCCTAGATACCAGCCGGAATGAGGCTTTCTCCCACACGTCTCTACACATCGGGGTCATGAGCCCCGGGGCTGATCAGCTGTGTGCCCGGAGGGGTCCTGGAAGTTGCTGGCTCGCGTTCCTGGCTTTAGGTCCTCTTGCAGCCCTCGCAAGACCTGCTTGGTCACCTGGTCTGGCCCTTTCCCAACCTTCTGCCCACACAGAAGGAAGGCACTCCACCCTATGCCTGCTGCTCACCTGGGCAACTCTACTCCCACTTAGAAAAAGGAGTCCCAGCAGCCCTGGGCCAGCTCTTAGGATTGCTTACCCTCTTGTACTTAGGCTTCCGGCTTTTTCCCTGTTGCAGTAAGACTTTGGATGGAAACCAAGTCCCTACGTCTTAGTATTTATCCATTCAGCCTGTGCACGCTCGGTTATAACTGGCAATGCCAGCTAGGTGTGATATAGATTGAAAAACAAAAACAAAAACCTCGGTTCTAGACTCAGCTTTGCCACTCCCAGACAAGGCACGTAATCTCCTTGATCTGTTTGGCTTATTCGTCGGTATAATTAAGAGATCATTGTACCGGATGGGATGGTCTCTAGCAGTGCCCAGCAGTGATTCTGTGACCTTTAAGCCTTTCCAGATTTGGTTTTGTTTCTATTTGATTCTTAGTGCACCTCTGATTCTGTAGCACCCCTGGGGTTAAGGGAAACACTGAGGCTGCCATACATTAATTTCTGAGGCATCGAAAAGAGACAGAAGGCAGAAAGAGACCAGAGTCTGACCTCAACAGACAGAACAGTTTATTTCAAACAGGAAAGGACAGATACTCTCCTGAGGAAATGAGTTGTCTTGGAAGGGAGAAGCTATCTGGGGCCCTTTAGAGAGGCAAGTGGGAGACTTGGAAATGAGGAAGTTCTTGGAACCGTAGGCTATGTGTGGGTCTGTGATCTTTCCTGAAATTGGCTGTTTTTGGCAAGACCGCTCATCTTGGGCTATCCCAGCAGACATTCCTAGATCGTGACTGACAGATGAGGTTGGTCAGGGTCAGCTGTAACCTCATAGGAACCCCGTTTAATGAGGCACTCTGTCACCTCAGACAATTCTCTTAACTGAAAGGTTTTTGTTTTATAAGCCCATCCCTATGTTGAGAATCCCTGGAAAACAATCTCCAAACTTGTTCTTAGTACAAGACTAGACGGTCCTCACTGTTAACATTTACTTTGTGGAATCGGGTCAGTAGGGCACGTCGTCTTGCTCTTAGGATGTGGCCTGTCAGAGGTCATTCCGAGTCATTATTTAAATCAGGATCATCTCTGCCGTGTTCAGAGCTTTTCGTAGGGCTCTGTTAAAGGCCCTGCTCTCTGCGGGCAGATGCAGAGAGAGACGTGGAGGCTCGTGGTGAGTAGAGGAGCATAGGCTGCACTGTCTGACCTGTGCATAACCCAGTGAGCAGTCTGTCCAGTTGCACATGCCAGCACCAGTAACAAAGCGTCCACACTAGAGTCCCTGCAGCCCAAATTCCGTCCCAGCGTTTCTGTTGACAGTATGCAGAATAAAAAATTGGATATGAACTTTGAGCTGATTGCTATTCGTGAAGGCATCAATTCCACACTGTTCTGGTAGTTATCTATGGACAGGCACTTCTGTATTAGCTTCTGATGCCAAAGAGAGCCAGGAACCTATAGCTTGGAGGGGAAGGGATCTTGATAAGTAAAAACAGATATTATATTAAAGTGTAATTAAAATAGTAGACATCAGTGTTAAGTCTCAGACCCTGGGACAAGGGGCTGAAGTGCCTATTAACATATCAAAGCAGACCTGGCACAGGTTCTCCCAGCACCCCCCCCCCAGTCCCTACTTGTTGCAGAGTATGACTAGCATAGCCCCACCTACCCCAGACCCTCCAGCCCTTTCCCTATAGAATCCAGCTATTTGGGGTGACCGTTTTGTACCTTTGGCCTCTCAGCTGCTGCACCCAGGTCCTCTTTCCCCTCTCCTCCTTCCCCCTCTGCCCCACCCCAAGGCTCAGCTCAGCCTGGTCATGTCCACTCTGGACTGTACCAGATGTCTCTATGGCTGTGCTCTCCCACGTGTCTATAATAAACCTTCTCCGCCATACCTAGGAGCAGTCATGGCCCTCTTTCTTTCTTTCTTTCTTTCTTTCTTTCTTTCTTTCTTTCTTTCTTTCT